TGAGACTCGAGTATCTCACTCAATGAGTTGTTGTGGGCAGCTGGGGATCCAGCAATGCTGTATCAGAGCTGGGGTGATGGATTCAGGGCTCCTGGGGCATCACACTCAGATGTGTTTAGTCTTTCTCATGGAGCAAATGGAATGCACAGTCCCTTTTTCTGCCTCCCTAATGAAATGTGATGACCAGTTTGCAAGTTCTTCACTTTGTCTCCAGTTTTCAAAGATTGGGTTTGGGTTTTTAAAAGAAAAGGTCTGATTTAGCCTCATGATTAAGAGATATCTGAAGGGTTTTTGGATGTGTTTCTCTGCCTGTGAAGATTCACCAAGAACCACAGTTAGATGTTGCCTCAACTATCAAATCTTTATTGTTTTAAAGCCCAGCCTAACAAAGTACATGCAAGCCACATGGCATTGCTCTTCCCTATTTCACTCCATCTTTCCTCCTTCCCACAGAGATGCTGCCATGCAATACAGTAACAGGGCTGAAGGCAACCACACCGCAGAGACCCACTTCATCCTCCTCGGCCTGACAAGCGAGCCCAAGCTGCAGACTCCTCTCTTTGTAATCTTCTTCATGATTTATCTCATCACTCTCATGGGCAACCTTGGGCTGATGGCAGTGATCAAGACAAGCCCCCGGCTGCACACCCCCATGTACTTCTTCCTCTGCAATCTCTCTGTTGTTGATCTTTGCTACTCCTCTGTCTTTGCTCCAAAGCTGCTTCTTGCCTTGGTGGAAAACAAAACCATCTCTTACCCTGCCTGCTTCCTGCAGCATTTCTTCTTCCTCATGTTTGTGACCGCAGAGGTGCTCTTGCTGGCTGTGATGGCTTATGACCGCTATGTAGCCATCTGCAACCCACTGCTCTACATGGTTTCCATGCCCCACGGGGTCTATGTTCAGCTGGTGGCTGCATCATACATGGGGGGGGGGATTTTGAACTCCCTAATCCAAACCTGTTGCTTGCTGTTGTTGCCTTTCTGCGGTCCAAACACCATCAACCATTACTTCTGTGACACTAACCCTTTGCTGAAGCTCTCCTGCTCCAACAGCCACCTCAATGAGCTTTTGCTTGTAATTCTTCATGGGAGCATTTCCATGTCTGTGCTCGTCCTCATCATCACCTCCTATGTATACATCCTCTTGTCCATCCTGAGGATTAGGTCTGCTGAAGGAAGGCACAAAGCCTTCTCTACTTGTGCCTCCCACCTCCTGACCGTTACCTTGTTCTACGTCCTTGCTGGGCTCAGCCACATGCAATCAGCTTCCAAGTACTCCCTGGAGACAGAGAAAGTCACCGCTGTGTTTTACACCCTCCTTGTCCCTATGCTCAACCCTCTGATCTACAGCTTGAGGAACAAGGATGTTAAAGATGCCCTTAGAAAAGCAACAGCAAGTAACCTCATTGTGAGCTGCTCATTGACCAACCCAGTCCCAATCGGTTGATAGAACTCCTCCTCTTTCCCTTTTTAACCTGTTTTGTGTCAGCTGTCTGGAGGAGGAAGGAACTGAATGTCTTTACAGGAGCAGGTACAGCACATTCTAACCATGCTTTAAACTCTGCAGAGGCTCGGTGATGTTAAGCATCCCCTCAATATAGGTCTCAGATAAATATTCTCTTGTCATCTCTTGGGTTTTTCTTTTGGGGAAAATAGATGTGATATCATAGGAGGTGGCAAAAATAAGCCCATGAGGAATTTCCCTCTTCAGTTTAACTTTAGAAGTTGCACTGATTCAAGCAGTCATTCATCCAGAGGTAAGTTCAAGGAGGGATGAAGGGTTTTGAGGAGGTACATCTGAAAAACATCACTTTACTTTGGGCTAATGCAAGGAAATGCATAAAATCCTATTTGCTTCCAGAAGGATGTGCAGTGCAAAGTAAGGAAACGGGAGGAGAAGCAGAGCCACTGAGTTGCCAGAGGATGAGCATGGTACGTGCTGTGACTGAGCATTGGGAAGATGCTAAATCTCTGTGTGACCAGAACATCCCAGGCTGGAGGCAGCACAGCTGTGTCTGTCATCCTGCACCTTCCTTCCTACCACTACAAACATCCAGCTGAGCCAAAGAGGTTTCACAGCACTGTGTGGGTTGGAGGGAGCTTAAAGGCCACCTATTTCTAACCTCCTTGCTGTGGGCTTCATCTCACATCTGGTTTAGGAGAAGTAGCAGCTGAGAGTAGGATTTTCCCCAATTGCCAAGGATTTTAGTGTAATTGAATCTAATGACTTTAGGGAGAAGTATGTTTTTTTCCCCTAGTTTCTTCTCGTGGGGCTGCTGTGATATTTCCTCCCACCCAACTCTTCCCCAACACAATCTGTTAACTGTGAAGGTACCACTGAGGAATGCTGCAGAACTTCATGCTCTGCAAAGCAGAAATAACCAACTGCAACCTGTTAGAGACCTTTAGCAATAAGCTCTTTCTGTAGCAAATAGAGACCTGGATGCATTGCAGGAGAGGGGGGATCATCTGTTACTTCATGGTACTTTGCACATGGCTGCACCCAAGTTAGTCCTGACACTGTGTTTTTCATACCTAAAAATAAAAGAGAGACTCCCAGCATCATTTCTATTAGGTGGACATGGAAAATATGACTAAGCATACCCACTGTATGGTATACCGAGAATTATAACTTCTTTTTTCCCCCTCAGATGTAGGAGTTTGCATTTGGATGCCTGACGTGGATTAAACCAAAATCTATCTGGAGCACCCAGTTGAACAGGGGTCATTTTCCCTAAGAGACAGACACAGACAAGGAGGGGGAGATGTTTATAACACTTAGTTTCCGTTAGAGCTTGCCTTGTCCCTAGCTTGGACACCAGAGGGTCTTGCCTCTCATTGAGAGTTGTTTGTGCTGTTTGCATGATGCAAGGTGCCTCAAGGGAGCAGCCAGGACAAGTTATTCCCAATGGGAAGGCAAGCTGGGAGCTGAAAGTGGCCACAAAGCAGAGCACTGTCTCCCTGTGCCTGAGCACAGCAGCAGCTTCCACGGATAGCCCAGCGGAAACTAAGAGTCAAATTCATGGTTGCTACAGACCAGGAGCAAGCCCAGTTACAGCACAGCCCTGGAAGTGGGCCCAGGGCTAGGACTGAGCTTAAATAGAGCCTGAGCCCTTGGCAGAGGGTGTGTGAGAAGGACCCAGGTGATGCTGGCCATGGCAATTACTGTGGCTGCACTCCCTGATGTCTCAAGGAGAGGGGAACTGGGTTTTCCACCACCCAATGCCCTAAACACAGCAGCAGCTCTGCATTCAGCCTCCTCTGATGTATTCCTGTGTGCAGAGGATGAAAGAATGGAGCCGAAAGGAGCAAAGAGCTCCTTTATTGTGTTAATGAGAATCACCCCTCCTCAGTTATGCAAAATCATGGAATCATGGAATGGTTTGGGTTGGAAGGGAGCTTAAAGCTCCTCCTCCAGCTCTCAACCCCAACACCTTCCACTGGAGCAGCTTGCTCCAAGCCCCTGTGTCCCACCTGGCCTTGAACACTGCCAGGGATGGGGCAGCCACAGCTTCTCTGGGCACCCTGTGCCAGCACCTCGACACCCTCATAGTGAAGAATTCCTTCCTTACATAAAATCTGGATCCCCCCTGTTTCAGTTTGAACCCACCACCCCTTGTCCTATCCCTACAGTTCCTGATGAAGAGTCCCTTTCCTCCATCCTTGTAGCTCCCTTCAGACACTGGAAGCTGCTCTGAGGTCACCAAGCAGCTTCTCTGCTCCAGGCTGAACAGCCTCAATATTCTCAGCCTGGCTCCATATGGGAGCTGCTCCAGCCCCTGAGCATCCTCATGGCCTTCTCTGGACTTACTCCAGCAGCTCCATGGCCTTCTTATGTTCCCTACAGAGAAGGACCTGGGGGTGCTGGGCGATGAGAAAATGAACATGAGCCAGCTTCAGTGTACGCTTGCATCCCACAAACCAAGCGTACTCTGCTCTTGTGAGACCTCACCTGGAGTATTGTGTGCAGTTCTGGTTTCCTGAACATAAAAAGGATATGGAACTGTTGGAACAAGTCCAGAGGAGGCCACGAGGATGATCAGGGACTGGAGCACCTCCTATTTGAAGACAGGCTGAGAAAGTTGGGGCTGTTCAGCCTGGAGAAGAGAAGGCTGCGTGGAGACCTCATAGCAGCCTTCCAGTATCTGAAGGGGGCCTATAGGGATGCTGGAGAGGGACTCTTCATTAGGGACTGTAGTGACAGGACAAGGGGTAACGGGTTTAAGCTTAAACAGGGGAGGTTTAGATTGGATATAAGGAGGTAATTCTTTCCTGTTAGGGTGGTGAGGCACTGGAATGGGTTGCCCAGGGAGACTGTGAATGCTCCATCCCTGGCAGTGTTCAAGGCCAGGTTGGACAGAGCCTTGGGTGAGATGGTTTAGTGTGAGGTGTCCCTGCCCATGGCAGGGGGGTTGGAACTAGATGATCTTAAGGTCCTTTCCAACCCTAACGATTTTATGGTTCTAGGATTCTATAGACACCAAAACTATCAGAACTGCAGGCGATACCCGAGCTATATTGAATCTTTGTCCTTCCCTCAGATCTTCAAGCTCGCTTGGGATGAACAATTATCAAGCAGGCAATGGAGACAGTGGTCACTGCCTTAGCTCAAGGCTGAGACTCCTTTTTGTAGGAACTACTTTCATTTAGCACAATTTAAAAACAAAACAGCATGGTGCTGTCTCAGGCATGCTATTGAAGAGCTGATACTTATTTGGATGAATTATTGGAGACTCAGTCCATACTTAAAATCACCAGAATCTGTTTGAAGACAGCCATTTGTTGTGCTGTTTCTTCATACACTGCACTTGTTGTGTGATCTTCTTGTCTCTAATAATGACCAAAGGTGAGCAGTAATGACCAATAATTGCCAGTAATGCTCAATTCCATAATCACATATTCCACATATTCCTTCCTTACCTCCACAGTACTGAAGAGCTCCAAATGTGCTTTCACACCCTGCATAGATGTGGCAGCAGCTTTCTCTCCCACAGCCTCCTCAGAGCCCCCTTCACCTCCTTGTTCCTCAGGCTGTAGATGAGGGGGTTGAGAGCTGGGGTGAGGATGGAGTAACACACCGACACCAGCTTTGCCTGATCCCATGAGGATGCCTCATGAGGCTGGACGTAGGTGAGGATCCCAGGTGCATAGAAGATGGTGATGGCAGCCAAGTGGGAGGCGCAGGTAGAGAAGACCTTCAGCCTTCTTGTGGCCAAAGGGATCTGCAGGACGGTGTGGAGGATGTAGGTGTAGGACACCAGGATCATCAGGAGAGAGAGCATGGATTTAAAAGTAGCACTGGACACCAACACAAACTTGTTTCTGTGGGTGTCCGAGCAGGAGAGCTGCAGGAGGGTGGGCAGCTCACAGAAGAAGTGGTTGATGCTCCTGGCCTGACAGAAGGACAACCTCCCTGCCAGCGTGATGTGCACCAGGGAGGTGAGGAACTCGATGGTGTACACCAGTACCATCATGCCATAGCAATGCGCCCTGGTCATGGCAGTGGTGTAGAGCAGGGGCTTGCACACAGCCGTGTATCGGTCGTAAGCCATTACCCCAAGCAGGAAGCTCTCAGAGACAACGAGAGCCATGAAAGTATACATCTGGGCAAAGCAACCCCAAAAGGAGATGTGGCTTCTCCCCAGCAGGAAGGTCTCCAGAGCTTTTGGGATGATAGCAGAGGAAAGGCAAAAATCCATGCAAGATAATTGGGTCAGGAAGAAGTACATGGGGATGTGGAGGTGGGGTTCAGTGTTGATCAGCAGGATCATCGTCAGGTTCCCCAGCACCATTAAAACATAGAGGGATAAGAAGACTGTGAAGATGGTGGTTTGTAGCTCTGGGGCATCAGAGAAACCCAAGAGGATGAAGCCGGAGAGAACCGTGAGGTTTCCTGTATCCGTCATTTCAACAAGTTGATGGATTTGGATTGAAATGAAAGCAATCGGTGAAATGCATCCCTAACTGAGAAATAATGTGGAAGTTTAGTTGGAATATAAACCATAAAGTAAATGCAATAGAAAATGGTGTATTTGTAATGGTGTATTTCTGTGTGTAGCCCAAGATCTGAAGTCAAAGAGGTGAAGGAGCTCTTTACACAACGTGAAATTAAGAGAATAATTCTACAATGATTGATATTCACATTACTAATGAAACACTGAGAAACATCATGTCTATCCAAACGTAATACAATAAAATCAAATAAATACATCTCAAAATGTGGAACACAGAAAAGATTTTGTATTATCTTCACTGATTTCTGGGAATTTTCAGGATTTTTTTCACTCTTTTTTGTATTTTTTGGAATGGATCAATTCTCTTCTGTAGCTTCATTACTTGTGCTGCATCCTTTTCATCACAACACAAAGCCATGTACTTGAAATTTGCTTTAGGTTCTAAGTTTATCTGCTTTTGAAGAACTCCCACCCTGCATAAGGTTAAGGGAAAGCAGTGGTCTTGGCTCCAGCAGAGCCTTGCTGTGATTGCAGTGAGCTTCCTATGACCAACCCAAATACGCATCTAAGGGTGTAAAATATATCATGTATAAACCAAAATTTTAAGGCTTTAGCTTGGATATTCTCATCTCTGCCATGCAATTCCTCTGCAGATGAAGTACTTGATGGAATATCAATCTATGAATGGCTACATCAGTGCTAAAATACCCCTAAATCTGTTGTAGATGGGGTGAGGAACATGGGTTTTTGAAGCAAAGCAGCCCCATACTAACACACGTTTATTCACTCCTCAGGCTATCATAGAATGCTTTGGGTTGAAGGGACCTTAAAACTCATCCAATCCCAACCTCCTCCCAAGAAGCCCCACACTGCATAAGGTTAAAGGAATACAGTGGTCTTGGCTCTAATAGAGCTTTGCTGGGATTGCAGTGAGCTTCCTATGACCAACCCAAATAGCCACCTAAGGGTGTAAAATACAAAATATACCATATATAAACCAAACTTTTAAGGCTTTAGCTTGGATATTCTCATGCTAAAATATCACTAAAACAGTTCTAGATGGGGTCACAAAGGTTGGTGTTTTTGAAGCAAACCTATTAGGCATACTAGGGCACTTTTATTTACACTATGGTCTATCATAGAAGGGTTTGGGTTGAAGGGACCTTAAAGCTCACCCAGCTCCAAACCCTGACACGGGCAGGCACACCTTCCACTAGAGCAGCTTGCTCCAAGCCCCTGTGTCCAACCTGGCCATGAACACTTCCAGGGATGGGGCAGCCACAGCTTCCCTGGGCACCCTGTGCCAGCACCTCAGCACCCTCACAGTAAAACACTTCTTCCTTATCTCCAACCTGAATTTCTCTGTTTCAGTTTAAACCCTTGCCCTATCGCTACAGTCCCTGAAGAAGAGTGAAATTCTACATGCCATCAAGCATGGGAGAGGCAGCAAGACCAGGGTCAAACTGGACCCACCACCCATCAAACCCTTTTGTACCTGCTTGGTTAAAGAGGAAGGTGGTGGTGGATGCAGTGCCTGCAGCTCCTCCTGGAGACCATGCGATGGGTTGAAGGAGAAATGCCTGGGAGCAGGATGCTCCAGGCTGGCTGGTGGAAGGGTTTTATCTCACAGGAGGCATTACCTCAGAGGCTTGTGTTGTGCAAACTGTTCTCCCAAAGGACCCTCCTCCATCGGATAATTAGTTTGACTTGATCAGCAAAACAACCTCTCAATTCCTCTCTCCCCAGACTCCTTCTGGCTTCATCAGCACCTCCAAGACCAGTTCTCCTGCAGAGACCTACCCAGGAAGAAAGGCCCAGGACACATTGATCTGTCTTTCACCATCTATCACATACATCTTCCTTTCTGTGTTTCCTGAGGAATCCCTTTACTTCCACAGAGATCATCTAATATTGCATTGAAGGGAGCTGAAAACAAGCACAACAAAGCATCATCTGTGTAGATGGTTTGCGCTGGTCATGGGGAGTCCTTTCCATCAGATGCATTTATTTCCATACACTTGACTAGTGATTGTACAACACTTTGGTCAAAAGCATTGGCTCAAAACGTGGCTGCTTTGAGAATATAGCAGGATGAAGTCAGATTTCCCAGTCTTCATCTGAAGAATCCTGAGTGTGGGTGTGTCCTGAGTGCTTCTCCTAGATGAAGAGACATTAGAAAACTCTTAGTAGAAATATTAACTGATAACCTGTAAGTGGCGAGGAGAAGCAGACAGGCCAATTCAATATGGGTGATAAGCAACTTCTACTTTATTTGTGATGCAGTTCACACATATATAGGAGTTGTATTCAGCCACTCCTTCTTGGCACAACAGTACTGGTTAGCCCCACACAGCTTCCTTCACATTCTCCTCCCAGGTCCGGTCTCCGGCCACCTGTGGGGGCCACCCCCTGCCTTGCTTGCACAGTCCTCCAGAACTCTATGGTCCTGCTCTTAGAGTCATTCTGCAACAATCCCCCCCTTTCTCTTTGTGCAACCAAGGCATTATGGGTTATTCTGTTCACCTGTTTTATCACACAACTATAAACAAGTCTAATAGCTACGATGATTAACCTAACAATGATACATAAGTGCAATACTTTAAACAGCAGTGTTTGACTCAACCTGTAATGCCCCATGAAGACAACCATCTAGTTATTCTTAGGATATTGCTCATTTACTATTGCTGGGTAAGCTGAGCCAGGGTTCTCAGCTGTGCGTGTATCGAATTAGCATAATCAGGGAGACTCATACAACACATTCCATCAAACTCTTCACATCCATGGCCCTGTTCCAACAACAAAAGGTTCTGCAGTGTTGCATGTCTTACAGTCAACATTAAAACAAATCAAATTGCCTTCAATGGATAGTTGTCTGCTTGGCAACTCAGCAACCCAGTCTACTTAGTTGAGCCAAGGCCCCGTGTCGTGGTTTAAACCCAGTCAGGTAACTTGTTCACTCACTCCCAGTGAGTGGTGCCAAGCTGACAACAATCGAGGTCCATGTCCCCCCCCGGCCCCCCCGCCGCACCGGGGCTCTCCTCTTCCCCGGAGGAGCAGGGAGGAGGATCGAGAGAGTGCAACTCCTACGGGTTGAGACAAGAACAGTCCAGCAACAAATCACCACCGCTACTATCAACTACAACAATGATAAGGGAAAATAACAAGGGAAGAGAATACAATACCACCAGCCAAGAAAACGAGTTCCACCTGGAAGCCTGTGTCCTTCCGGGTAACTCCCAGTTACCCCTCACCCCGGGCATGACGTGCTGTGGTATGGAATACCTCCCTGGCTAGCCCGAGTCAGGTGCCCCGTCTCTGCTTCCTCACAGCTTCCCCTCCTCCCTGGCAGAGCATGAACCTCACAAAGTCCTTGGTCAGGGTAAACATCACTTAGCAACAACTGAAAACATCAGCTTCACCAACACTGTTCTCAGGCTGGAAGTCAAAACGCAGCACTGCACCAGCTAACACAAAGGAAAAAACATGACTGCTACTGCTGAACCCAGGACATTATCCACCGCTTATTCCATACCATTCACGTCGTGCTCAGATCCCACATTTTCAATACACCATTGCTCTCCCACATATATATATCCATATACATACAGACCAAGAGGAAAAAATCATTTTCTTAGTGCATGGACCAATCCCTATAATGCTGCCGAGTCCATTCGGTCCATGATGTTCCAAGTTCATTCTCTGTTGGGATGATGGCTGGAGGGAAGTCAGGGCCAGTCGCTGGTGACCTGGAGACATCTAGTTGATGGGCTATAAAAGCATTACACAGCAGGCAACAGCATACAATTGAGTTCGCTGGCTGTTTTCCCCTAAAATCAAATCCCCTTGAGGTATACATCGGACTTCCCCATCTTCCCGCATTACCCACCAAGTATATCCAGGTCCCTGAGCAAAAGCAATCCCACGAGTGGGTTTGCCTTTACCTGAAGCAGGAATAACCCAGACTGTCTTCCCCAGCAAATTCTTCATATGCACCACGGGAACTTTGTCCCCCTCTACAAGATGTAAAAGTTCTGACTGGGCCGGGCCAGCCCTCTGGTGTTGGCAGATCCTCTGGTGTTGATCAACCAGGTGGCCTTTGGTAAGTGTATATCCCAGTGCTTGAAAGTTCCCCCACCCATTGCTCTCAGTGTAGTTTTTAACAGCCCATTGTACCTTTCGATTTTCCCAGAGGCTGGTGCATGGTAGGGGATGTGATATACCCACTCAATGCCATGCTCTTTGGCCCAAATATCTATAAGGTTATTCCGGAAATGAGTCCCACTGTCTGACTCAATTCTCTCTGGGGTGCCGTGTCGCCACAAAATCTGTTTCTCAAGGCCCAGGATGGTGTTCCGGGCAGTGGCATGGGGCACAGCGTATATTTCCAGCCACCCGGTGGTTGCTTCCACCATGGTAAGCACATGGCGCTTGCCTTGGCGGGTTGTCGGCAGTGTGATATAGTCAATCTGCCAGGCCTCCCCATATTTATACTTCAACCACCATCCTCCATACCAAAGAGGCTTTAACCGCTTGGCTTGTTTAATTGCAGCACATGTTTCACACTCATGAATAACCTGGGCAATAGTGTCCATTGTTAAGTCCACCCCTCGGTCACGGGCCCACCTGTATGTTGCATGTCTGCCCTGATGGCCTGAAGTGTCATGGGCCCACCAGGCCAAAAATAATTCACCTTTATGTTGCCAATCTAAGTCCATCTGAGCCACTTCAATCTTAGCCGCTTTATCCACTTGTTGGTTGTTCTGGTGTTCCTCAGTGGCCCG